TAGCAGTCAAAACCCCAGTAACTCGCGTGGTTCAAGCCGTTTAATTCCGACTCATTGTGAAATGGCCGCATTAAATCAATTAGCTGCGTGTAAAAGCTTTATGAGATGTCCTTGCGTGAAGGACGCTCTACTGTCAAAAACATTACGATCAGAATCTGTATTCATACCGGAGGAATCCGATGAGTTATGAAGCTCTTTTTCGCAGTCGTACGCAACACATAGACACGCGTGCGGTACAAGAGCCCTCACACAGTGTTGAGTGATATTAATGATCTCGTAGCTAAGAACAAAACGTTTACGCCCGTCACTTAGCAGGCTTGACGTGGGTCGGAGCAAATCGTACTCAGCTTAAAAACAGGACCCATAATTGATGCTTAGATCAGATCGCGAAAGTAAAATGAGTGTCGTATACCGTCATTCCACCCAACAGGCAATTAATACATTGATTAGGGGAGCCATACTAAAACGAATGAACAGAGAATAGAATGCTAGTAAGCTAACATGAGGAACGTGGAATGTCCACATGTTATTGGAAAAAACGCAATGCTCATAGGCTACAGAGAACGGAATGTACATAGGTTAACATGCTGATCGATGTCTCTGTGAAGAGTGGTTCGCTGTGAGTCATCAGGTGTATTTAGAAGAGGTATTCTTCTTAGATGGGCCTGGCTTTGTAAAGTGTAAACCCTCATTGATTTGAAGTGATTTGGTTGAGTCGTGGGTGACCAAGCTGAGACACATCTTGCTGCTCTGCATAATAACCGGCCTTAATCAAGAGCTGATTAACCCGGAGTCAAACGCAGGGTGTCAATTAGTCGTAGTTCAGTGCTCTGACATGGATAGTCCTTATGAGCCCCGATAGAGGGGCAGAGAGAGGTCGAGAAATACGCCCATCATCCGGACTAAATGCAAGGATGAGAGAGACCGAGAGCTGTTGTTGGCCGATTTCACTGAAAAATTTACACTTGTTGACCTGTGGACCTTCACGGCCCGGTGTTTTCAAGCGGCTCTAAATACACACACACACGTTGAAGCGAATGCGTCAATCGTAGATTCCACGCGAGAGGAGACCACCGCTGGTGGAATTCGCCGTGGCGCGTTGCGCGAGTTGACACACGTGTCCGCGTCAACGCCCAGGGCTGAGCGTGTTGCTTCCGGCGGAGAACCACGAGCCGTGGATATTTGTATCTGTCTTACGCTTGTGATCCAGCCAACGTCATCAGATACACGTCCCGAGATTTCGCCACCGTTATTCATTGTTTCGTAAATATTGTAATCGCTTGAAAAAACTAGTTTTTACCAATTTGATTGGCATACAACACGCAGGCGTCATGCACCTTCAATTCGTAGATACGACTGATAAGTTGTAGGAATTACTCTGACGCATAAGCGACCCGATACGTGCCTTACAATAAATTTTACTGTTACCGATGCCTTTGGCCAAGTCACTCAGAATGCGTCCCACGCATCTCGTGAGTAGATTTCGGAAGTTAAGGTGGGGGGGGGGGGGCAAGGCTACGTGCGTGAATGAGCATTGTTTCACTGCACTTGTGTTTCCACGTGTATTGTCCCCCTGCCGTCACCAACCCGCACTGACCAGTCTGGTCAACTTAAAGGTCACGGCCGGCACCGGCGTGGGTGACCCGTATCCAGTACAGGACACAAAGGGCTGCAACGCGTGGCTATTGGTAGAGGGGAGGGGGGGGGTTATGTTATGTTTTCATCGGCTGCAGTGTCACACTCTTCGCAAAAAGGTCTCGTAAAATGCTGAAGCGTTTATCGAAAATATAATTATGGACTCGGATTTAGCGCCATTTTAAACATCCTGAAACAAACTTCGCAGGTTTATAAATAAATACAAGTTTGAAAGCGTATGCAAATTAGGAGACCCAATGAGAATATTTTGACGTTCTGATTTTTCTCGTAATTTATACATATATTTTTAAAATAGCGCCATTCATTACACAACGCTTAACATTTCGACGCCGACACAAACATTTAGAATAAATAGATGCACATCTTAAATTTTTTTCTTCTAATAATGTAAAATGAATAAAATTCAATAATAATAGTACTAAAATATATATATATGAATATATAAAAATAAACAAGTCTTAAATACATGATGATTAAATAGTAACGATAATTAACACGGGAGCAAACGTCATCACGCAAGAACACGGCTGAATGCTGGGGCATGCGGTTGACGTCATCACGCAGATGTGTGCGGTTATGTCACCATCTCTCACTTGCCCACCCGCGCGCCAGCCAGCCAGCCAGCCAGCCAAACTTAAAAAATAATCTCGTATGCTAATGTATAAATGCGACCGCATCTCACTCAGGCCGCTGTACAGAGTAAACAGTAAAACATATTTATGGTCCAGTTGTGTCGGAGCACGAGTTGCAAATATTGAGTGCCACCGATTTGTTTGTGTGGCCAACAGAAGAGGATTAAATAACACAATTTACCGCATGCCATTGACCACGTGAATGCAATGGCATGACTCAGTTTTGCTTCTCAAAGTGGTAGTGGCAGGCGATTGTGTCTGGCCACGAACACTGATTATGATTTGTCGTGCTGAGCATTATACACGATGACGACGTGAATGCACCGTATTCAGAACTCGGAAGTCAGATTCAATAGTTAGTATAGTTCGTTGTGAGACGGGAGACTGCCTATGAATACCAGGTGTTGTAGTTTGGAATCGATGTGGCCAGAACAAAGCAGTAGAGCAATGCATTGTTGAATCTCTCGTTATCCCCTACTCTCCGATGCATGCCCCCCCCCTCCCCTTGAAAATAACTGTCGGCTCGGCAATGATCTTCCTGCGAAATAAAAACGCATGGTTATGATTAGTGAGTGTTTCCGCCATATCATAAAGCAAATTATTTGGTGATACTGCGTTGGCCGTAATGCCACAGGCACAAATATAAAACTCAAATCCTTCGTTAATAACACCGCCTTATGGCGCTGCTGCATAACACATCCATAGAGAGGTCATAGTGATAGACTGAAAATGAGCTGGCAACTGCACTATACACCAATATTATATTCCAAAAATAAAAAATTGCTGCCTGGATTCCTGCCTGGCTGGCGCACGGCGTGTTCGCGGTGGGGACGTCACCGCGCACATTTGCGTGATGACGTCACCCGCATCTCACAGTTGAGCCGGGTTCGTGCGTGCAGACGTCACGCTCCCACCCCCCCACTCACAACCCGCGCAAATGTGCGGGACACGCTACAATACTCTCATAGTATAGTCGAACAAAGTTTTTTTCTCACTGCCTAGAGGGGAAGGAGAGACCCACGGTCAGGTCCAAAGGACGTGCGGGCTTGCTAGTTTAATGTAAAACAAATCCCGAAGTTTTTTAAAAATAAAAATTGGTTGAACACGTAGGCTTTCGCGACCAATGTTATTCATAATCAACGTTTTTGGGTTTAGATCGCGTTATTTATAAATGTGTCGTAACCCTCCACCACCCGACACGGCCAATCAGTAAAAAAGTGTCACGTTGACAAAAGACAAATAGTTCACTGCTTTAGCCCACCATTCTGGCGAATTGCCCGATGATGCTGGATGCAATTACCAGCGAAACGTCGTACTCAAATTGTAAATGTTGTGGCTTCAACACACCGGTGGGCTAAAGCAGTGAACTATTTGTCTTTTGTCAACGTGACACTTTTTTACTGATTGGCCGTGTCGGGTGGTGGAGGGTTACGACACATTTATAAATAACGCGATCTAAACCCAAAAACGTTGATTATGAATAAAAATTGGTATTTAAATAGTTACGTTATGAATAGGCATTGAGCAACAGACGACTGTTATCGATGCCTTTGGCCAAGTCACTCAGAATGCGGTCCACGCATCTCGTGAGCAGATATCGGAAGCCCAGCGAGGTTTGTGCATTTATGTAGAAACACATACAAAAAAATGCGTTTCGACATGAATGCATTTCTATAAAAATTGTGAAATGTTGCTGGCACACTGCATTATCTTCACTGAATATTTGCTTTATCTTGGCTGGAGAAACGCACGTCTATCATGCACCACTGCTCTTAAACACACTGCGAGCATATGTTACGCTCTTCGGGGATTTAGGGAAATTTAAAACAACTCAATAGAGCCACACTAAGCCATATTTATACTTTTTTTGCACGACTGCCTTATGTATCATATTGTTACTTTTAACAAATAAATGTACGCAGATATTCATTTTATTGCTTGGTATAACATCGTTACCATACCAACACATTTGTAAACACATACGAGGGGGTATACGTGCATGGAGACAATTCAAGTGGTGTGCAAGTATTTTCTCATTGCTGCTCACTTGGTCAGTATAGTTTCTCTGTCAAAAAAAATGTTAAGGAATTATAACTGCGTGTGCTACCAAAAAGAAAAAAAACCAATGATTTCGCCTTACGCACATTCATAGGCAACCCCCTCTCCTCCCACCCACCTTTGTTATTGAAACCAAAATACACATTTTTGTTGTTGTTCTGAACTAAACAAAGCCCCAGACATCCCCAAAAACACGAACGTGCAACGGGGTCTCTCGCCTTGAGCCCGCTGAGTCGCCACAGACAGCCACCCGTCCGTGACTCCGCACGCACGAGGTGCTCGCCGCTTTCAGGCTGACGGAGCAGGATTTTTTTGCAAGAGCTTTCTTTGTTTGATGGCGTGGCGGTGGAGAGGGGCTATTTTGACCTCGTTTGCAACAAAGGCAGGCGGTGTCACACACCTGCAATATGCGGGCTTATGTGGGGGGAAGGTGGGGGGGGATTGGTGGGGGTTTAACTCGGCTTGACGCAAAAGGTGGTAGGAAGTTATTTTTGTTTTTGGGGTGGGAGATGAGATGAGGAGGAGGGGGTGGGTGGGCAGAGATTCTGCTGGTGGTGTGTGCGTCAATGGTCGTCAATGAGCGGGTGGGTGCGGCTGTTAAAGAGTGAAGGGACTGGGCTCGCAGTGACAGACATTGACAAGACACAAGCTGGAACACACCGAGAGACGGGCAGCAGCAGCAGCAGTGAGACACTCGAGACACAGACTTAACGACTGACTGATATTGAGAGTTAGGCAGGGACAGACGCAGATTTAATTGACGAAAACTTGGACAACATCTATCATCATATTCGTGCATTTGTTACGGGTGAGTGTTGTAGGAATTTAAAATGTGGAAATTCAATTTTGCGTGTAACTGTTTCAAATATTGCTGATTGTATGTCGGAGCGTTAACACGATTATATAAAATCCACGTATGTAATGTTCTACGAATAATTATATTTGTGCTGATATGTATGCGTATACAGATGATTATGCCTCGCTGGATACACTTCAATGATGTTCAAAAGGGGTCAGAAAGTAGAAATTTGGTACAAATACAGTCCAGTGTATTGCGAACAAGAAGGGGAAAAATCTGAAAACCGAAAGATTCTAATTTGAGTCTTAAATGTGTCGGTCCAGAGGTTAACTGGCTTCACCGAATAGAGCAGGATCGGGCTAAAGGACCGACTTCGTATCGAATCTCGCGCGAACTATGGCAATATTTATATTGCCCAGTGTTCGATCCCGCTCATGAGCGAACCAAGTAATTTTTCTCATGTCGAGTGCGACACCAAAGCGCGGATAAAGCCCGAACTGGTTCCTCGTGTAAGATATATACACACACGTGTAAAATATAGAAGCAGACGCAGATGACTCTAATCTGGTTCACAATAACGCGACACGATTGACTGTTTGGGAAAGAAAAACCACCCGTAACGCGACACAGTACGGCTGTGTATTCACTGCGTGTTCAATGTACCCAGCACGGAACGATGCGCGTGCATGTTGGCACCATGCGATTTTGTATACGTGTAAGCGCGTGCAGAAGAGTCTATTAACTTGTTACCGGTTGCATTGCACACATCATCAGCAAGAGCAGTAGCTCGTTCCCTTGCGCGCTGTTGCTCCTTTGGGCTGCCACTCACGAATTCTAGATTTGAAGCTTATTATTTAACTTTTATGATTAATTAATTTTTTTTCTTACCTACGTGACTTTACCGAAAAAACCTAAGAATATGCCACTCACGAGTTATTCTCACCCCCCCTCCCCCCTCGGCCAACATCAATCCCTTCTATGCAACGTGTCCTCATCCTTCAAGCCCACTTAGGTTTTCCTAACAGTCAACATGTTGGCTTTATCATCATCATCATCATCGTGTGTGTTGTCCAATTCACATTTTCGCCATATCTCAATGTAATTCCAAGCATCTGTCCATCTATCCTTGCTTGCTTCTCTATTCGCACTTTTCAGCTTTTGTTCCATCCTCTTCGTCACTGCCCACTTTTACGTGTCCGTGTGTCACAACAGGTATCGCGCATTTAATGAAGAACGTTCCAATTCACACACAAACACACACGCGCGTTTCACTCTCAACCTCAGCTTTCCAAGAGCGCCTCCGCCTGTTAATCACTTGATCGTTTTGATCTCGGCTCTTCCTTCACCTACTGCCGCCGGGACGCACATTCCACTATGCTTTCGAGTTGGGGGGTCTCCTCCGATCGTTGTTTCTCGAATGCTTCGAAAACTATACGCCTCATATTTAGGTGTTTTTGTTGTTGCTCAGAGTCATCCTCAGCGCAATGTTTTGTTGTCGTTAATTTGATTGAGAGCCAACGATTTCAGGCAGCAGCAGACGCCGGGGATGGCCTCGTCTGTGGGAGTGCGCTCTTCCCCAGACTGGGAGGGATTCTCAGTCGATGGAGTCTGTTAGGTCCCGTCTTGCAAAGTCTGCGTAGGGGTTGTGCTTTTTAAATTATGCAACACATGTCTTTCATTGTGGTTTTATTCGTTTGGGGTTTGTTAAAAGGTTTGGGTTATTTTGAGTAAAGCGTTGCGAGGCCGTGTGTGAATGGCGATCTATAAAATCGGGTTCCAGTTACTCAGCTATAGCATCGTTCATAAATAGATATTTCAAACACATCTTGTAGTTTATTTCCATTGGACGTTATAGTGACTATGGTCGTCAGCAAATATGTACGTGTGTTGAACTTAAATATCAACATGATGGTTCATATTTTTCCCCCTTAACGTGTATGCCGTTGTTTCTGATAATCCAATTTTCGGGAAACATCTCAACATGTCGCAGCGTATAATACTACACGAGAGAATGCCTGTGTGTGGGGTTGACCAACGGAAAATATAAACGCTCTACAGGGCTTTCTTTCGCCAGTTATTCACATGCATTTTATACTTCACACAATGAAATCTATGTTTGCCTTTAACGCCCGGGAAACTCCAGCAGTCGTTTGCTGCTCTAACAAATTCTTCTCGGGAACATGCGTCCGCAAGGTCGATTAGACTGATGTACCGTCGACTGTTTCCACATGTCTACATGTGCAAAGGCGGGCGCTCATCCGTTGCTATACGCGTATGCAAGATACGCGTTGTTGTCAGTGCCGGATTACCCTAGTAGCAAAAGTAGCTACATGTGTAGTAGCTACGGGCCCCCGCACTTTCAAGGGCCACGCGCTAAATGCTTTGAAGCTATCAATTCCGGTTAAGTGATTCTGCACTTGCTCTATTACTATAGTACTATACCGCCTTCAACTTTTATGAACGACTGGGTGTTTAAGGTTAGCGATTTGTCGTATTATCTAGCTGTATAGCAAATGAAAAAATACAATTACGTTGCTATGCAGGTTAAGTTTTAATATGCGTTTTTATTTTTATTTAGGGCCCCTTTATAGCATGTGCTACAGGCCCCACACTAGCTTAATCTGGCACTGCTTGTTGTTTGTATTAGACGGTGTACAACACCCACAATTCTGTATTGTTACAAAAGACTGGACTGTTGATTGTTAGTTATACCTAAAATTGGTATTATATCGTCAATAACCGTGCACCAATTTATAATGCCCAGACAACACTAAATGAGTCTCAAGACTCTTTTTCAGGAGAGTTCCCATTGCTGTATTGGCATCTTCTGACCGTTTGCCGTAATCATAGTATTGGGTGGAAGCCCAAAAAAAATATATACAGGTTTACATCGCTTTTTGCGGTAGATACGTTACCAAAGAGGGCGCGCAAAGCGAAACCGCACGAAGCAGCTGCCTGCCGAGTAGCGCGCACAGCACACACAGCAATCTTCTTGGTTCTTTCGGTAAAGTCACGTAGAAGGAAAATAATAAAATAATAAAAATAAAACATAATAAAATACAATTCTCACGACGTTTCGGCCACAACGCAAGCAGCCGTCCTCAGGTGAAGAACAGGTCTGTCGGAAAGACACCCATTCAGACGCTGTCTTTCCGACAGACCTGTTCTTCACATGAGGACGGCTGCTTGCGTTGTGGCCGAAACGTCGTGAGAATTATTTTACTATGTTTTATTTTATTTATTTAATTATTTCCCTTCTACGTGACTTTACCGAAAGAACCAAGAAGATGAATCTCTGCAGTCACGAAAGCTTTAAATCGAAACACACAGCAATGTTGTCTGTTGTCTGACCGCATAGCCGCACATGAATTAATTCGAACCGCATACCGCGAGGGAAATCTGTCGCCTCCAAACTCCAGTCCTTGCATCCCACCACGCTACACATTTTCTCGTTTACCAATTGACTCCCATTCGTATACAAATCAACTCGATACATGCAGCACACGCCCAACGATTGTTTTAAATACGTGCCACGTGACGTGCTTATACATTAACGCTGTCTGCGTTAATAGAGCCAATTCAAATGGTGCTCGAGATCTGGGTGCGTGTGTGTGCGCGCGTGTGTTGCACGTGACGCAGACAGCGTTGATGCGGAAAGGTAAAGTGTGATGGACCGCGACGACTGGAGTTTGGGACGCCCTGCTATTGGGTATCGAAAGCGCTGGCTCATTTGGGACATGTACTTGAAAGAGTGGCGTAGCTATCGAGTGTGCAGGTGGTGCAACTGCACTGGAGTCGACGGGCCGGAGGGGTGCAGGCGCTGGGCGGCTATGAAGAGGACAGGAACCAAATTTAATTCCTTTGCATCAAGGGCCCATGCCACTGACTGAAATGCACACTGATTTCCCTCTCAGTTCTCCCCTCTCTTTAGACGCCTCCATGGGCCACTTGCCCTGAGTTGGGTTTGGACTACACTGCCGCCAGGAAACCACACAACGCACGACTCCTGTACTGATCATGGTAAAAATGATGATAGATGTTACATTGAATCATATTCTGAAATGTTTCTTTGTTTTTCTTCCTCTAACAGCACAGAAAGTAGAACAATCCAATCCAAGCTCAAAAATAATTACAGAAAAAAAAACGTATCAAGGAAGAGCGTGACAAATAACGTACGAGTGATTAAAAATAAATTAAGGTCACCACCACACACGAACCCACAGCCGCAAAAAAATAAGAAATGGCGTCCAATCACGTGAGCAGCACGTGGCTCAGCGTGGTGACGATAATGGCACTCTTTTTGGCCGGTGGATCGCGTTCAGCAAAGCTCGAGTGGAGGACATTTGTCGAAGATGAGTTCTTGATGATGGACCAACAGAAACCACAGCCCATATCAATTTCCTCCCCAGTCACAAAAGGCGACCTTCCCGTCATTAACACCACCGCCACCCTTGACAAGGAGGAAGAGCTCCTTGTGTCTATTACAAAAACAACGAAGGCGACAATTGTCTCGACGAGCAACCAGACTCCACTAGCGAAGTCATCGCTGCAAGCTGAAGTCCAACGCCGTGTGATCAGGAGTTTACACGTTCAGATGGCGAATCCTTCCACAACACAGAAGGTGGAGGCGCCGTTGCTTGTGCGACATCCTCGAGGCGTGACGGAGGAATTCTCGGGTGAAGGTGAGGAGAGACGGTCACCTGGTCGCTTATGTGGCTCATAATGGCTGTGTCCAAGCACTAACCAAACACACATTGAGGCCCTGGCTTCTTAAACACATTCCTGCGGAGGGAGCTGGTAGGAACGTTGGGTTGCTCGGTCAATGGCCAGGGTCAACGGCGGCGTGGTGTATTCCGCAAATATGGCCGACTGTGAGGGCGGGCACAAGCCGGCGTGAGTAGGTTAAACGTTGAGTTTTATAAGGGCACCGCGGGGTGACCAGCCCCTCCCCACCCAGCCCCACCCAGCCCCTACCCACCCTCCCCTCCCTCCCACCCTCCCCTCTCCACCCAGCCCCACCCTCCCCACCCAGCACCTCCCCACCCTCCCCTCCTCACCCAACCCCTCCCTCCCCACCCAGCCCCTCCTTGCACGACGGATGGACGGACACAATAATCCCCTGTGGGCTGGTGTAACCAGGAGGTTCTTACCAGTAATATGTTCCAGTTGCATCGTTATCGTGAGTTCTCACGTTAAGGGAATTAACATGCCCATTACGGTCACCAGTTCACTTGATTAGCAAGTTTCAGCTCTAAAAGCTCGAGACTATAATTGCCAGTGAACGATCAAAGCATTCATAAATATGGTGTGTTGTTTTGATGGTATTTAACAACCGTATTCTGTTTGGATGTATTATATGTCATTAAGAAAACCTATCCATCATCGGAACCAGATGATGCAATAATGTTTTTAAACTGGGAAACTTCACTTTAGTCAATAAGACTCTTTTTCAGAAGTTCCTGCCACGTGATATTTGTTCAATCCAATTAATGATTTTGCGTGTGGGAGGAAACTGTAATACCCTAAGAAAACTATGATTTACTAACAATGGGACAACACTCAGATCTCTTTATACAGTCAATAATTCATTGCTGTACTTGGTGAGACAACAGTTGTGTATGCTAAAGCCGTTCTGTTTTCCTAACTTTTCAGGTCCGATTACATTCACAAGTTCAGTTTCTCCAACCCTGTCAACCACGACCACGACCGCGGCTACCACCACCACCACCACAACCACCACCACATCTACACCAACGACAACAACCACGGCTGCAACCATGGAAGATGGAAGTGGCCTTTATGAAACGACCTCTCACCCTGAGGCGGCCTCCACAGCATCGGTCCACACTGGTGGGGCTGTCTTCACCTCCACCCAGCATCTGACTCAAGAGACCGAGACTGGTAGTGGTTGGTACGAGACCACAATCACCACTGCCACAACTGCCATGACTACTGCTACCACCTTGTCGCTGAGTGACCAGCCCAACACGTCCAACTATACGACCACAACTCACCAAGAAATGTTCACGACTACTGACGATGGCAGCGGGTTCTCGGAGTTTACCACAACAGTGACTTTGCAAACGGGGCGAACCAGCGAGCAAACGGTACTAACCACGTCCACCACCAGTAATACGACTACGACGGTGAAGACAGGGGCAACAAGCGGGTCAACAGAGATTCATTCAGAGTCTCCAGGTGTGATATCCAGTTCGACTGCTCTCCTGTCAACTGCAGTAGCATTCGTGACATCCCATTCAACCGAAACAGGCAGCGGAATGTTTGAGTCAACTCCTGGAACAACTACCACCACCCAATCTGCCGTGATGACCACAGCAACTACCAGCAACGCAACCGGGGCTCCATCAACATCTGGATTCAACTCACCATCTACCGAAACAGGCAGCGGAATGTTTGAGTCAACTACCAAAGCAACTACTGAGGCAACCGTGATCACCACAGAAACTACCAGCAACATAACCGGAGCTCAATCAACATTGGGAGTCAACTCACCGTCTACCGAAACAGGCAGCGGAATGTTTGAGTCAACTACTGAAGCAACTACTGAGGAAACCGTGATGACCACAGCAACTACCATCAATGTAACCGGGGCTCAATCAACATCTGGCATCAACTTACCATTTACCGAAACAGGCAGCGGAATGTTTGAGTCAACTACCAAAGCAACTACGGAGGCAATCGGAATGACCACAGCAACTACCATCAACGTAACCGGAGCTCAATCAACATCTGGCATCAACTCATCATCTACCGAAACAGGCAGCGGAATGTTCGAGTCAACTACCAAAGCAACTACTGAGGCAACCGTGTTGACCACAGCAACTACCATCAATGTAACCGGCGCTCAATCAACATCTGGTATCAACTCACCATTTACCGAAACAGGCAGCGGAATGTTTGAGTCAACTACCAAAGCAACTACTGAGGCAACCGGAATGACCACAGCAACTACCATCAACGTAACCGGAGCTCAATCAACACCTGGCATCAACTCATCATCTACCGTAACAGGCAGCGGAATGTTTGAGTCAACTACCAAAGCAACTACTGAGGAAACCGTGTTGACCACAGCAACTACCATCAACGTAACCGGAGCTCAATCAACATCTGGCATCAACTCATCATCTACCGAAACAGGCAGCGGAATGTTCGAGTCAACTACCAAAGCAACTACTGAGGCAACCGTGATCACCACAGAAACTACCAGCAACATAACCGGAGCTCAATCAACATTTGGAGTCAACTCCATGTCTACCGAAACAGGCAGCGGAATGTTTGAGTCAACTACTGAAACAACTACTGAGGCAACCGTGATGACCACAGCAACTACCATCAATGTAACCGGGGCTCAATCAACATCTGGCATCAACTCATCATTTACCGAAACAGGCAGCGGAATGTTTGAGTCAACTACCGAAGCAACTACCCAGACAATTGTCATGACCACAGCAACTACCATCAATGTAACCGGGGCTCAATCAACATCTGCAATCAACTCATCATCTCCTGTAACAGGCATTGGAATGTTTGACTCAACTACTGAAGCAACTACTGAGGCAACCGTGATCACCACAGAAACTACCATCAATGTAACCGGCGCTCAATCAACATCTGGCATCAACTCACCATTTACCGAAACAGGCAGCGGAATGTTCGAGTCAACTACCAAAGCAACTACTGAGGCAACTGGAATGACCACAGCAACTACCATCAACGTAACCGGAGCTCAATCAACATTTGGCATCAACTCATCATCTCCTGTAACAGGCAGTGAGATGTTTGCATCAACTATTGAAGCAACTACACAGGCAACCGTGATGACCACAGCAACTACCATCAATGTAACCGGGGCTCAATCAACATCTGGCATCAACTCATCATCTACTGAAACAGGCAGCGGAATGTTCGAGTCAACTACCAAAGCAACTACTGAGGCAACCGTGATCACCACAGAAACTACCATCAACGTAACCGGAGCTCAATCAACATCTGGCATCAACTCATCATTTACCGAAACAGGCAGCGGAATATTTGAGTCAACTACCGAAGCAACTACTGAGGCAACCGTGATGACCACAGCAACTACCATCAACGTAACTGGGGGGCAATCAACATCTGGAATCAACTCATCGTCGACCATAACAGGCAGCGGAATGTTTGCGTCCACTACTGAAGCAACTACACAGGCAGCCGTTATAACCACAGCAACTACCATCAATGTAACCGGCACTCAATTAACATCTGGCATCAATTCATCGTCTACCATTACAGGCATCGGAATGTTTGAGTCAACTACCGAAGCAACTACACAGGCAATTGTCATGACCACAGCAACTTCCACCAACGTCACTGGGGCTCAATCAACATCTGCAATCAACTCATCGTCTCCCATAGCAAGCATCGGAATGTTTGCTTCAACTCGCGAAGCAACTACCCAGGCAACCGTAATGACCACAGCAACTACCAGCAACGTCACTGGGGCTCAATCAACACATGGAATTAACTCATCGTCTACCGCAACAGGCATCAACATGTTTGTTTCAACTAGCAAAGCAACTACCCAGGTCACTGTGATGACCACAGCAACTTCCACCAACTTAACCGAGGCTCAAGCAACATCTGCAATCAACTCATCGTCTACCGCAACAGGCATCGGAATATTTGATTCAACTACCGAAGCAACTACCCAGGCAATTGTCATGACCACAGCAACTACCAGCAACGTCACTGGGGCTCAATCAACACATGGAATCAACTCATCGTCTACCGCAACAGGCATCAACATGTTTGCTTCAACTAGCAAAGCAACTACCCAGGTAATTGTGATGACCACAGCAACTCCCACCAACAAAACCGAGGCTCAAGCAACATCTGGAGTCAACTCACCATCTACCAAAACTGACAGTTTCCAATCCGAGATGTCGATCAGTTCGGCAGCTAACCTGACAACCACCAACTCATCTCAACGTCCAATCTCCACCACCACAAGTCTGTTGAACTCTGAGATGGCTACCTTATCTTCCAATGCAAGTAACCAGTCTCTCGCCAGTATACTACCAACTGCACCTATGGTAACAACAATGACGACCTTGGGGGCTTCCAGAAGCGTGGGAGTTGACACGACTAGCAAAGCAAATACCACGATATGGGCGACCACGACGACTGCTCATCCAGCAACATCTACTCACAACAGCAGCGAGGCAACGATGGTCACAGCCGCATCAACCGCTCCAGTGCTGAACACGACGCTTGCTCAGACACCCATCGGAGCGATCACCACCAAAATACCAACGACCGTTCAAACGTCGACTGCCAATGGTACCGAGAAGAGCAGCTCTGGGACGACCACGATTGGACAGGCGGCCAATGTTGGAACCACAACCACAAGTCCGACCTTCAGTTCCACCACCAACCAGAGTCAATGCGGTGAGGCCCGGCTTGTTTGTTAGAAATGTACATAGTTCAGTAATGGAGTCTCCTGTCCTAGTGAAGTTACCAGTGACACAAAGACGGGGCTTGTTGTAAATGAGATTCGAGCAGCTGCCTATTGTATTGGTGCAGGTGTCAGCGAGACACATATTGCTCCTTAATAAAAATGTAATTTAGGTATCAATAAAGGAAAGCGTAAGCGAGTCGCAAGACTCCATCCTATTGTCTGAGATGATTGCTTGGCCATTCCATTGTTCGCAGGCGCTCGAAAGGGGGCTTTGATACAATCAGCAATATAGAAATTTGTGTTTATGAATGCATTTTATATTACTGTGGTATTTACCAGGTAAATAATACATTTCATCAAAGGCGATTTGGCAACACATTCCAGCCATCGAAGTGGCTTATATAATATATGGGAAATTATTGTAACCAATTATGTAAACGCATGTTTATAAATGTAGGAGGCAAAACCGGTGGCCCTGCAGGGTTCCGGTATCGAACCCACAACCTCCTCCATAGCAGGCGATATAGATAATATCGCGTCACTTCGACGCCCCATATATGTTAAATATAATATTATATAAATATGATGATAACGACGATGATATATCTGTGTGCGTGTATCTCCACACCCAGGCATCAAGATGTCAAACTTTTATCCGATGTCCCAAACGATGTACTCTGTGAGTGTGACGTGGACCTGGCCTGGCCGGCGGAGTACGGCTCCTGTCCCAATGATTGTGATGATCAAGCCGGTCGGGAATTATATCCGTGTGGGCGATAGCCACGGGAACGCCACCGTGGAGACATCGAACAACATGGTCACCATGGATGGACTGTCCCCGGGCACCATCTACACAGTGACACTCCGAGCCAAATACTGCAGCGGCCTGGAGGTCAACCGCTCCGTCAGCACTGGTATGTGGCCACCACGGGCAGCCGCATTCACCACTGCCACGAGCATCACAAGTGACCACCGCGTGCATTGGTAGTGAGCACCAGGAACAGTAGTAGTGACCACCACAAGGGTCATTAGTAGTGAGCACCTCGAACAGTAGTAGCGACCACCACAAGGATCATTGGTAGTGAGCACCAGGAACAGTAGTAGCGACCACCACAAGGATCATTGGTAGTGAGCACCTCGAACAGTAGTAGTGACCACCACAAGGATCATTGGTAGTGAGCACCAGTAACAGTAGTAGTGACCACCACAAGGGTCATTGGTAGTGAGCACCAGGAACAGTAGTAGTGACCACCACAAGGGTCATTGGTAGTGAGCACCTCGAACAGTAGTAGTGACCACCACAAGGATCATTGGTAGTGAGCACCAGGAACAGTAGTAGTGACCACCACAAGGGTCATTGGTAGTGAGCACCAGGAACAGTAGTAGTGACCACCACAAGGGTCATTGGTAGTGAACACCACGAACAGTAGTAGTGACCACCACAAGGATCATTGGTAGTGAGCACCAGGAACAGTAGTAGTGACCACCACAAGGGTCATTGGTAGTGAGCACCTCGAACAGTAGTAGTGACCACCACAAGGATCATTGGTAGTGAGCACCAGGAACAGTAGTAGTGACCACCACAAGGGTCATTGGTAGTGAGCACCTCGAACAGTAGTAGTGACCACCACAAGGATCATTGGTAGTGAGCACCAGGAACAGTAGTAGTGACCACCACAAGGGTCATTGGTAGTGAGCACCTCGAACAGTAGTAGTGACCACCACAAGGATCATTGGTAGTGAGCACCAGGAACAGTAGTAGTGACCACCACAAGGGTCATTGGTAGTGAGCACCTCGAACAGTAGTAGTGACCACCACAAGGGTCATTGGTAGTGAGCACCACGAACAGTAGTAGTGACCACCACAAGGGTCATTGGTATGGAGCACCAGGAACAGTAGTAGTGACCACCACAAGGATCATTGGTAGTGAGCACCACGAACAGTAGTAGTGACCACCACAAGGGTCATTGGTAGTGAGCACCAGGAACAGTAGTAGTGACCACCACAAGGGTCATTGATAGTGAGCACCACGAACAGTAGTAGTGACCACCACAAGGATCATTGGTAGTGAGCACCAGGAACAGTAGTAGTGACCACCACAAGGGTCATTGGTAGTGAGCACCTCGAACAGTAGTAGTGACCACCACAAGGATCATTGGTAGTGAGCACCAGGAACAGTAGTAGTGACCACCACAAGGGTCATTGGTAGTGAGCACCTCGAACAGTAGTAGTGACCACCACAAGGGTCATTGGTAGTGAGCACCACGAACAGTAGTAGTGACCACCACAAGGGTCATTGGTATGGAGCACCACGAACAGTAGTAGTGACCACCACAAGGGTCATTGGTAGAGAGCACCAGGAACAGTAGTAGTGACCACCACAAGGATCATTGGTAGTGAGCACCTCGAACAGTAGTAGTGACCACCACAAGGGTCATTGGTAGTGAGCACCACGAACAGTAGTAGTGACCACCACAAGGATCATTGGTAGTGAGCACCAGGAACAGCAGTAGTGACCACCACAAGGGTCATTGGTAGTGAGCACCTCGAACAGTAGTAGTGACCACCACAAGGATCATTGGTAGTGAGCACCAGGAACAGCAGTAGTGACCACCACAAGGGTCATTGGTAGTGAGCACCAGGAACAGTAGTAGTGACCACCACAAGGGTCATTGGTAGTGAGCACCAGGAACATTAGTAGCGACCACCACAAGGTCATTGGTAAGTAGTGACCACCATAAGGGTCATTGGTAGTGAGCACCAGGAACAGCAGTAGTGACCACCACAAGGGTCATTGGTAGTGAGCACCTCGAACAGTAGTAGTGACCACCACAAGGGTCATTGGTAGTGAGCACCAGGAACAGTAGTAGTGACCACCACAAGGATCATTGGTAATGAGCACCACGAACAGTAGTAGTGACCACCACAAGGGTCATTGGTAGTGAGCACCAGGAACAGTAGTAGTGACCACCACAAGGGTCATTGGTAGTGAGCACCACGAACAGTAGTAGTGACCACCACAAGGATCATTGGTAGTGAGCACCACGAACAGTAGTAGTGACCACCACAAGGGTCATTGGTAGTGAGCACCAGGAACAGTAGTAGTGACCACCACAAGGGTCATTGGTAGTGAGCACCTCGAACAGTAGTAGTGACCACCACAAGGATCATTGGTAGTGAACACCAGGAACAGTAGTAGTGACCACCACAAGGATCATTGGTAGTGAGCACCAGGAACAGTAGTAGTGACCACCACAAGGGTCATTGGTAGTGAGCACCAGGAACAGTAGTAGTGACCACCACAAGGATCATTGGTAGTGAGCAACTCGAACAGTAGTAGTGACCACCACAAGGGTCATTGGTAGTGAGCACCTCGAACAGTAGTAGTGACCACCACAAGGATCATTGGTAGTGAGCACCAGGAACAGTAGTAGTGACCACCACAAGGATCATTGGTAATGAGCACCAGGAACAGTAGTAGTGACCACCACAAGGGTCATTGGTAGTGAGCACCAGGAACAGTAGTAGTGACCACCACAAGGATCATTGGTAGTGAGCACCAGGAGCAGCAGTAGTGACAGCAGTGGCAGCATTGGAAGAGCATTAGATACAAGTGCAGTGTGGCGATGATTGTGGTGATGTGACAGTAGTTGGAATAGCGGTAGATACGAAAGAAGCACAGTGGTGATGCCGGTGGTGATCGTGATAGAGGTGTACATTTTCATGATGATGATGGTTGTGGTGATGGTGTCAATAGGGATGGTGTTTTAACGGCTGATGAATACGTTTCTCACAGATGGCTTGGTGTTTCTCATGACATTCTCCATCAAAAACTGGGACGCTAATAACAATGAGAAGGATTTCATGACAGAGGTAATACCATCACTGCCAACATCGCCATCACAAACACCAACTACAACATACTAACGCTATCAACTTCAACATCGCTTTACACACACATGCACTTGCATTGACAATAATTCGGCTTTCAGGCCTTCCCATTGGTTACTGGCCTCTGGGTGCCACTCCAATGCCTTGATTAGTAACCTGCATCCTCCATCCTTCACGTACCACCCATCGCAGCCTCATCTGATTCCATCTTCCCTTCCACGCTGTGTTCTGATGTTCACACTCGATTCCCATGCACTGCTATTCAATGTTAAATTACAGTATTCCAAGTTGTGTTACCCTATCCATGAATTAAAGTCCCAACATCCCCATGTAGCAATGTGTAGGAGACCCAGGAGCTTCTACTTCTCTTTAGTTCCACTCAGATGCAATCTTCCTGTACCTCATATGGAAATCTCTTCTGTATTGCATCCACTATATATTTGACTTTGCACATGCGTTTGAAAACCTAATTCGTAATTGAGTTGGAGCTTGCAGAATTGACGGTTGAACCAATTGCTTTCCCGCGCTGGTTGGGGGGGGGGGGTGATACAGACGGAAGGGGGCGATGGGAATGTTGAAGCCATTGCCCTGCTACTATGCTGTCCTGCTACATTTTCTTTCGAACTTTCAAGTTGTCTACCCTATCCAACCATGATAATCCTAGCACCCTCTGCATGCATCTGTATTTCAAGGTCAAATGCTTATTTTCCATTTGTTTCGTGAAAGTTGAAGTCGGTTCAACACAACATATTGTCATGTTTTCCCATATTCCACTTGTGTACTGCGTTTTTTCCAGTTGATTTGTTTACCACCATTCAAATTCAAATTGAGTCGTTGCACACTGCGCACGCCCGATTATTGCTCCACGTGCCTCACACACAACCACTGCACGTATCTTACATTGAATTTGTACCCTCTGCGTCACAAAAGACGTGTTTGGAAAGCATTAGGGGGGCGTAGCTTTTAAAAACCGATTTGTAATATGACAGAAGGTAAACGGGTAAATGGCGTTGGATGTTGAGGAATAGGACTTCGTCAAACGCTGCTTCAAAAATCCCCCCGTCATTTCCATCAGTTCGAGTTAAGTCGGCCGTGGTGGCTACGCACGCAAAAAGGATTGCAAATTATTTCGAAAACCTCCAGGAAAAGGGCACTCCAGCGAGCGTGGGCCAATACCATCTGTCCCTCCTGTATGTTCACTCGGTTCTCCAGTTTGTATGTATGTATGTTGAACTTACTCTTTGGTTCTTTCGCTAAAGTCACGTAGAAAGTAAATCAATGTTATGCTGAACTTCTTGGAACCACAACCACAAGCACCGTACGTAGCCAACTGAACTAGTCGGAGGTGCGGGGGAAGGACAACACGTAAAACACTTCTTCCATGGCTGAAAACATCTCCATTTATGCACCTCCGTAGATTGCGAATGGCGCAGCATTGCGCGTGATGCAGTTGCATGACACGGCTGTATAACAAACACACGTTATCATTATTATTCTTAAGCGGGTGGAAACAACTGTTGGCTTTATTGCTGCTAATGTCGAAATGGTCACAGCTCACAACGTAGATTCTGAGCCGAGCGCCTGTATATGCCTCCCCCCCCACCCCCCCACGTTACAGCTTTACAAACGCATGCGCGCCAAGTTCTTGAACATGAGAGGCGACGTGAACTTCACGCTGCAAGTGGACAGGTTCAACGCCGTGGCCCGTCGCGTAGCCCGCGACGTCGGCTCCCCGCGCGCCCGGGACGCACGCGCCACTCTGCTGAACGTCGGCGAGTTTAACGTCCGCATGGCAACGGACTCAGCCCTCAACCTGAGCTCGCCCGTGCTCGACCAAGTGATGCAGTCCATCTCGAACGAAAGCACAGACTACAGCTTCGTGGACGTGAAAGTGGCAGGTGAGTGGCCCATGGCACAAAACTGCCGTCAATTGCGCACGGTTTTGTCATCAGACTTGATTTTTTTTTTGGAGCTGACCAAGACACGAGCCCCGGGTTGGCTTCTTTGACTGCCGTGGTATCACGTGCTTGGATTGTATCTGTGTACTACACGTTACTCACATGCCGCCCATGAATGGCATTGGTTAAACCATTCACAATATGCAGGACGCGTTCCTGGGTAACAACAACAACAGCAGCAGCAGCAGCAGCAATTCACAAAGAGCATCTAAATGCATGCACAGGCTCTAGGTACGAGTTGAGGAACACGGCTAAAGAAGGGAAGGAGGAGGCATGGGCACGGGGTCGGGGGGGTACGCGGGGAAGGGGAGGTCTTGCGAGGTCAAACACAGGAGGACAAAGTAGCCAAATGTGTCGTTCACAGCACTCGCCCCAACAATCTGTTAAGGCTATACGGGGGATCTTTGTCTTTGTTGGTGGTCACTAATAGCACTTGCCCCAACAGTTAGTTAAGGCTATACGGGGGATCTTTGTCTTTGTAGGTGGTCACTAATAGGACTTGCCCCAACAGTCTGTTAAGGCTATACGGGGGATCTTTGTCTTTGTAGGTGGTCACTATAATAGCACTTGCCTCAACAGTTAGTTAAGGCTATATGGGGGATCTTTGTCTTTGTAGGTGGTCACTATAATAGCACTTGCCCCAACAGTCTGTTAAGGCTATACGGGGGATCTTTGTCTTTGTAGGTGGTCACTATAATAGCACTTGCCCCAACAGTTAAGGCTATATGGGGGATCTTTGTCTTTGTTTGTGGTCACTAATAGCACTTGCCCCAACAGTTAGTTAAGGCTATACGGGGGATCTTTGTCTTTGTTGGTGGTCACTAATAGCACTTGCCCCAACAGTTAGTTGAGGCTATACGGGGGATCTTTGTCTTTGTTTGTGGTCACTAATAGCACTTGCCCCAACAGTTAGTTAAGGCTATACGGGGGATCTTTGTCTTTGTTGGTGGTCACTAATAGCACTTGCCCCAACAGTCTGCTAAGGTTATATGGGGGATCTTTGTCTTTGTTGGTGGTCACTAATAGCACTTGCCCCAACAGTCTGCTAAGGCTATACGGGGGATCTTTGTCTTTGTTGGTGGTCACTAATAGCACTTGCCCCAACAGTCTGCTAAGGCTATACGGGGGATCTTTGTCTTTGTAGGTGGTCACTAATAGCACTTGCCCCAACAGTCTGCTAAGTTATACGGGGGATCTTTGTCTTTGTAGGTGGTCACTATAATAGCACTTGCCTCAACAGTTAGTTAAGGCTATATGGGGGATCTTTGTCTTTGTTGGTGATCACTAATAGCACTTGCCCCAATAGTCTGCTAAGGCTATAAGGGGGATCTTTGTCTTTGTTGGTGGTCACTAATAGCACTTGCCCCAACAGTTAGTTGAGGTTATACGGGGGATCTTTGTCTTTGTAGGTGTATGTTGAACTTATTTTGCACCGCACGTAGCCAACCGTGCGTATCGGAGGTGCGCGTGCGTCAATATGTGGGGAGCGGTGGTGCCGTGGTCAGCGCTACGAATCCGGCAAACTCGAGTTCGATTCCCGCTCACGCGACCAATGTCAGTGGCGAGTATCTGGACCGCTCCTGGGTCGACTTGGCCTTGAATGTGTGAACCTGGTGCAGTGTGTCAACATGAGCACTGGGGATAACCCAGGCTATGTGGGGGGGTGGGGGGGGCAGAATGTGATAAAGGTGCAGCCGTGAAATTTCTTGATCACATCCAGCGGCGCAGCTGCCTATTTGAACGGGGGGCGCTGTGCAAGATAACCCGTGTACAATACAATGTAGACTATGACTAGGTACGTTATGTTGGTTGCACCGTGTATTGGGTTTAGAGGAAGACAGTAACTAAAGTGACAGTTTTAATTAATGTTTTATTAAGGGTACAATGCTCACAATTAAGCTATCCTGCCGCCTGCTTCCATGCCAGCCCCATCGGTCGAGGATTAACTCAAAGGTGGGTCGCGCAACTTAATGCTGTTCTATTGACATGATCGCCAGATGCGTTCATTGGGCTTGGTTCATGGTAAACGGCAGGTAATTTTTTTGTTTGTTGTGAATAAATGTTTTTTTTAATGTTTTTTCTTAACACGTTTCACTTTCGGGGGCCCCCTTGTGGCTGACTGGGCCCCTAGGCGTCGCATCACGCTGCCTACCCCCACAGTTGCGCCCCAGGGTGGCATTACCCACATTTTGAACCCCCCTACACACGCGAACTGGTGAACTGTGCCCATTAATACTACCGCAGAGGTCTGGGGAGGGGATTTAATAAACTCGCCCGGCTTCAACTGCCGCACCTGGAGATCGCAACAGCGACCTCCGGGGTCGCAAGCCCAATGTGCCAATTCTAACACCATGGGCAGCATCGTCAATACGTGTATAGTGTATGTGTGCAGTGTGTACGTGTGTAAAACGTGTGTGGGGAATGTTGTGTGCGTGTGTGTGTCCACGCAGACTTTAACCCGTGCGCAAATTACACCGTGGACGGCAACGACTGCGACCCGCACGCCGATTGCATTCCCATCGGCGCCGGCTTGTTCACGTGCAACTGCTGGGCCGGGTACAACACCACAGACGGCGCAAAGAAGGGCACAGAATGTAAGGAGACGCACATAACGCACAACACACGTGCGTTCTAGGAAGCCCAAATTTGAAAGACTTAAAAGTGACTTTACATGGTGGAAATAACACGTAGTATTTTATTATGTATGTTTTATCTTCTTGGTTCTTTCGGTAAAGTCACGTAGAAGGGAAGTAATAAAATAATACAAATAATAAAATAATTCTCGCGACGTTTCGGCCACAACGCAAGCAGCCGTACTTAGGTGAAGAATGAAACACACTACCAAGCTTGGAGCGTTGTGGCCGCAACGTCGTGAGAATTATTTTATTATGTTTTATTTTTATTATTTTATCACTTCCCTTCTACGTGACTTTACCGAAAGAACCAAGAAGATGAATCCCTGCAGTCACGAAAGCTTTAAATCGAAATGTCACGTGTATACTTGTTGGGTTTGTCGCCCCTCCTCCTCAACCTCCGATGAGCATGGTTGACTATGTACGGTGCGAAAGAAGTGCAACATGCATTCGGCCATAGCTGCTCCACACAGCAGCAGGTGCAGATTGTTTTCAGGGGCAGCTGTTAGGCTGCTGCACCACACGCAGGCACTTGCCTACACGGGCACCGATAGCCAAGCACGTCAACCTCACACAAATGGCTCCTATTCTGATTGAAATTTGACACACGGTGAAGGTTAAACCAAGCGGCAGGAACAGAAGTTATCAGATGCAATTCCGTTCTTAAGCCAAGCAATATGTAAAAGGGTAAAAATACGTTTATTAATTGTAATATCGTCATGCAAAACACAACAGGAATTAGTGAGTGAGGTACAGCCTAGTGAAGTTCTAAAATAGAAAGCAAGTTGAGATTATTGTTGTAAAAAGAACAATTTCAATACCGCAATTAGTTTTTAAATGTGGGCTTATTAAACGCATGGCCTACAGGTTTAATGGTTTTATTTATAGCTTAAGGTCAGCTCAAATTCTTGCACTTAAATATATACAAATATCTCTATCATCAGTGAATCAAGTAGTCACGAAAGCTTCAAATCAAGATTGAATCAAGTAATTTTCCTCCCAAGGAGTGTGATGCTCAAACTAATTGAAAGCAGGATAAGCTGTTTGCTAATTTACACTTAATTCACACAATATGTATGCTAACACACCCACGCATACCCCAAAGATACAATATATAACCCATAGTTTACTCCACAAATTCAATTGCACCGGTACATTCCGACACATGCACTCACATAGCAAGAGTAATTTTTAAAAACCCATTGTCTGTCGTCCGAAACGGATGTTTAGTTCTCTCGATCATTGTCATTTGAGGGAGGATGCCGTATGTCTCTGTTAATGTCGTAGTATTTGGCTGCTATAAATTTCCGCATGAAAATACGCAACGTTGAGCTGACTTTTGTGACCCAGACCGCTTCTGAAAAAGAGCTGTAGCTCAGTGGGCCTTACCTGCTAAAATAAAACATTTATTGCCACAACAATAAAATATGCTCACATCGTGACGGTGTGAGCCAAAGGGGCTCAAACACGTCCATGGGCTGTCACCTGGGTTTCAGCAAAGCACAGGCAAATAGGTCACGAAAACCAGCCACGCTCACAACCCGCAGATTGTGCTGAGGGCAGGAGTCTCTCGTCACTGATCCCTGCAAGAATAGAGCATTGTGGTGAAAGGGTCCGAAATGGTTGGGAAGGATTACGGAGGTGAACAAAAGCAAGCATCACACAACCATGACAAACGCCCTATTTAGAGGGTGCGTGGAGTTGCGTGTGTTTTAGAATTTCTGCTGGTGAAAAAAAAAATCTATAGATGTTCTCGAAGGGCTAAAAGTGTTCATTTCTGCATGAGATTGGTCAAGAAATCGTTTTTTCGTACATCGTTTTTATGTGTTTGCAATGTTGCATTCTATGTACCAGCGCAATGAGTGCACAATTATAAAGTGGCGGTGTTTTCATTTTTGTATCAGATGAGACAATTCTCGTTTAAAGGAAGGCTCTTTTTTGAAGTCTGATAGTGTGATACGTTTTCTGTTTTAGATTAATTGAGGGCTCTTTCTATCACACGTTTGTATGACATTTCTATTGCTGCCATAGTTGAGGTCATTTAGTATATATATTTAACTTATGAGTAATCGATGAATTAGTAATATTATGATGTGATTTGTATTAAGAAGTGTTTTCATCTATCATGTTTTCAGGCATATTGGTAAACACAGGCACACCTCTCTCAACCACCATACCTCTATCAAGTTCAACCACCTCACCATCAACACCTCCTGCAGAGTGGAGTAAGTGATCCTGAAATCCACATACGCACGTCACACACGCACCACACATACACACAGACACACACCATTACATACACAAGCTAATACGTCACAAACACCATGAAGCATACATCTATACACAACATTCCAGACATTATTTAAACATCCCAAATTTGAGCTCTTAGGTTGTTGGCATGAATGCTATTAGTGAGCATCCAGTATGGCCTGCACGTCGCACAAAAGTGGTTGGTCATAACCACGCTCAACCAAATGTGTCTCCTCTCTATCAATGTTCACACCAGTTCTGGTACGTACTCCTTTAAGTCTGAGTTGACCTAGTGGTGGCCCAGTGCAAGTTAAGATACTACTTGGCACCGGCATTGAGCACAGGTGATTGTTATTGTAGCACAGTTTAGCCGCATCAACGTAAACACGAGTTTGCACAGACATTACCATGCGCTTGCAAACACAATCACAAATGGGCTCACCTGGTTATCCACGTCTAGGCACAATTGCATGCGTGCACAATTGTTCACTCACACAAATGTACGCTCTGTTACAAGCACTTAAAATAATAGTGAAATAACACAACACCATTCAGCAGCAAGCGGTGGTCACAGGTCATTACAGTGCACGCACGCAGCCCTCAGTGTAATTACACGAGGGTAGCGTCAGGGCAATTGTTGACGCAAATTGCAATTGGGCAATGATTGCGACAGCAATGCCCATTGTAAACCAAATTTGGTCGGCTAAATTTGGTGAATTCTGATTGCTCCTCGTGGGCACCTGGGATGGAAGCTTTACCATGCACATCATTGGCCAATCAGAAAGAAATAAACTATCACGGGATATATTGTGCTTCGTTGCTTTAACGCTCACTGATGACTGTGTTATTGATGATGGAATACGCTACAAGCTGCTCAGTGCACTCCAAATTTAACACAAAATGGTGGTAATCTTACATTCCTCCCCATCTTCGTATTGCTCACTGATGTTCTTGTGTCCTTTCTGGTGCAGACTGGCGGGCTCTGGTCATCAGCCTCTGCGTTCTGGTTCCCGCCGCTCTGCTCGGCATCATATTTTTATCCCGCTTCCTAATCGGTCGGCATGGGACCTACACCGTTCAGGTGAGACCAGCAAATCCGGCATCTCCATCGCCATTAATACATTGACTTTCGCCTGTCTGTTGGTCTATCCATCTAGACTGGAGCACTGTTGCCGGCAAGAGTCGTTCACCGAATTTGTTTTCATCTCTTGCCATGATGCTGATAATTAAGCTCTTAGATTAATTCAGGAATTAACGTGATCATGTTCTGTGGTTGTTCCTTTTGTGTTTCTTCACCGAATGCTCGCGCATTTAGAAGGATTCCAAGGTTGGAAATGCAGCGTCGCGGGCAGGCAAGGCGGTTGCACATGCCTTGGAGGGGGCCTTCCAACGGCTCACAGCCAACACACACAATTATTCTGTGAAGACACAACTAGGAAGTTCCTACTCTGACTCCTACAGGCATCTGGAGGAGCAGTGACCCCTTGAATCCCAGCCTCGTTCTTTCTGTCCCAATCCTGAGTCTGAAGATATTGATCCTGAAACCTGAGCCTTCTCATTAGACGGTCAAAACAGTCTTAAACACTGATCCTGAAATACATAAAAAAAAGCCGAATCTCAAGATTAGTATCAATTTCCTTTAAAAAAAAATCTATCGTGTCTAAGCATTCCTGAAGCCTCTCAAGTTTATTGGCTAATTCTTGGTCGAGACAACAACAACCAAGGCCAGGGTTTTCATTCAATAGAGCTTTAGGATTCTTGATAATTGTAAGTGAGACGTATTACCAATCAGGAGTTTAGCTGTACACCCATGTAGGCCAGCATTCACAATTGTATGACAAGTATCAGTTAACATTGAGCAGGATTCTCAGGTAATCCAACGCAGAATACTAAAATAATTGGGAACGGCACTCTCAGTTTATGGAGGCTGGGTCCTCAATGAATGTCCTATAATCTCAGAAGTCTGCCTTCTTGAAAACAGATGCGAATTTCCAAAGTTTACTTGCTGGAATTCCAGTCACTATGTGTGGGAGAGTCTTAAAGGCCAAAGCAAACAAAATAATTGAAACAAAAACATAACGTCTTGAAAAGTAGGAGTACCAATATATATATAAAATCCGCAATTGTCTGTCACGTTCTGTATGTCCCAGTCGGTCCATCGGACAAAAAAAAATATGTAAAAAATTGTTTCTCTGGACGAGAACATTACGAGAAATTTGTCATCTTTCCAGATTAACAACATTTTGCCTAATAAATATGAGAAAATAACATCGAATACAAAGCAATGGGAACTAACATCTTCTGGAAGAATGACTGACATTTAATTGCTAGAATCCTTCATTGCTAGATGGCTTCCCCTTTGATTTATCTTTAAAACCAATGTTGAGGCGTAATTTCAGTGTCCCTTAATCCACGCTTACAGCTTCGCCGTGTTGACGTTGGCCGGTCGGGCTGAGAGGCAACGTGATGATACCAGCGCGCGTAACGCTGAATCCTCCCAACGCACGGGCTGGCAAGGGTGCGGTGAAGTTATTATATCCCAAGCAATGCTTGTATCCAAATACAATGGGTGCTCAGCAATATTCTAATTACTTTTTAAAAAAGGATCCCCGTACACATTGATGTTATGAAAAAGCTCATCAAACAGTAACATCACAGCTTACTTTACAAGCCTGCATTTAGCAGGATACGCGTCTATCACGACAACTCATTATTATTACAGCAATGATACAACACGATCTTAGGACGATATACAGCTGTTCAATAAAACTGTGAAAATCTGCAAATGGCAGGCTAACCGTGAAGGGTTGTGCCTGGAAAATCGGGGCACAAATTGGAGTAAAGAACGAGGCAAGGACGAGTTTCTCGTCAGAAGGGAATTGGCCACACGTCCCTTCTTGAAAAACAAATCTGATGACTTAGTCTTTCCTGTTGAGATATCAGAAAAAAAAATAATAAATGAACTATGCACCATATATGCTAATTTAAAAAAACATCTATGCACAGGGTAGGCGCTGGGCTTTTAAAATTCGTGGCCACTTAGTGTATCATTTAATCTCCCACACTCATGGCCAGAGTGATATCCGTGTCACTACGGTGGCTATAGAAGGCCCAGATGGTTATTGCAAATCGTGTGAACAGTCTGGTCGGTCGCGCTTCCATGCCTGCATCGTTTACGAAATGAATTTTGATTACATTTGAGATAAAAGGGCTCGTGTTTGCTGCACAGACATGGGTGACGTCACATCAGACTGTTCCATTTCGAAGTATAGGCATCTGGGTAGGGGTAAGTGGCATTGAACATCCTTAGAAACAAAATGAAAAACATTGTATTATGAAATCAGGAATGATACACATTCTCTATTTTTTTCTGTCGATAAAATTTGGAAATGTTGGAGAAGCTACGAATTTGATTTCGCTTGCTGATGATGTGTTATAATGATTTCTCTGTCATCTCTCAGCACTGCTATAGGGAGATGGTTTTAAAATTGAGGAAACTTGGGGCGACTTTGTGAATACAATTTCAGTCCAAATTGACTCGGTTTCAAATTCGTAGTATAGAATTGAGACTCAAAAAAACCTAGTCTTCGACACACCAAGTCTCAGTCATAGATTTGAAACGCTATGAAATGTCAAGATATTGAAACTGAAATTGGGTGTCACAATTCTGAAGCCTCGCCTCCTGGAGACCAACCTCAGTCGAGTGAATTCTGAAACCCAGTTTTATAGAGCTGAGTATTGAGATTCTGAGCCTGAAACCCATATTCCAGGTGAATCTCAAAACTGTGATGCTGAAACCAATGTCTGCAGTTGGCCATTGTGCAGTGATACAGCAACCAACTCTTAAATTCTCACAATGTGAAACCATGTTTCACATTGTGAGAGTGAGACTAGTGAAAGATTCGAGTGTTATATTTCACACTCGTTAAGGGTTCACACGGAATTAGACGTGTTGGATTTCAACGAATTTGGACTTCAGACACTAGGCTTGTTGGTGTGAGATTGGGTCTATGCTAAGCGATTCAGGCTAGTGTGTGAGTCATAGTGTTTGTTGGATTCAAATGAGTGCATGTCATCTGAATATACCTAGAGTTGAAGTGACTCTAATTTTTTTTAATTTTATTTTTTATTTTACCATGTAAAGCCCTCTGAGCTACATAGAGTAGCAGATGTTTAGAACTGACCTGGTCACATATGATAGCTCAACGAAGTGGCTTATGTGGACATTTATATCAGACAAATGTTCTAAATGCATTTTTCTAAACTGGGAGGGGAAAAACCGGAGGACCCAGAGAAAAACCCAGGCGTCAGGGTCGGGGATCGAAACCACGGCCTCCTGTATCACAGGCGAGAGGGTGAACATGTTACAACCAAGAGTTCACATCTCAGGGCCATGCCAGAGCACTGCACCAAACACCACTGAGATTGTGATTCAAGTCCTGGGATGAGATTAATAAGGTTATTCTTGTTGAGCAGGCTTGTCAATATCAATCCAGTCACGAATGTACAACGTTTAAAATCCATATCTTAAATTTGTTTTTGTTTTATCTTCAGTTGGTTTAGAGCAGCTTTGAAACCATATACACAAAACAACATCTCAATAACATAAGCTCTTAGAATGGATATATTTGCCAAGTGACTTTCTTACAAAGTTTAACGGAAATGTAAAAAAATTGCACGTAAAGATGCATCAACTCAACTATCAAAAGAATGTTTTAAGCTCAAAACAGGCATCGCATTGTGCATGTGAGAATGTATTACTATCGGCTGATGTTATGCTCACGTTGGATTTTGGCTTATAATTCAAACAAAACGGACGTAAAAATGGTAGAACCGAGGGAAAAAATTATCAATTCGTGAATTAAAATGTCTTGCCGAATTGTGAAAATGCATCGACTCGCTGTGGGAATTGAATCGTAACAAACCGAATAGAAGTGTCAAGATGAATGGGCTAAAAATGACATCGCGACAAATGTTAATTTCGTTTTCGAGTCAAAGCACCAATGTCTCCGTCACCAACATTGGGGCGACTCGCCAAAGGGATATCATATGCTCTGGCTGCTTTGTCAGGGTGTGAATCCCACTCCCTGCGTTTCTAAACTGCACCCGTCAATGCTGTGCAAGATATGTGTCACTGATCGAGCTCTGTTTGAACGTGTGTAAGCACAGTAGCAATATTTATTAGCAGTATACACGCCAAGACAGGTGGCTTGGAAGCAGTGAATGTTTTTTGTACGCGCAGTTTAGATTTTATTTCGGCTGTATTTGCTGAGTCGTGTTTAAAATTGGAAGTAAAGCGTCACTTTTCACGTGTTTACAATATTTGAATGGCAGGGATAATGCAATAAATTTCCGTAATCATATTGAAAGATTTGTGTCGTGGTTCTGTGGGCCTGATGAATGTGAAAACGCCATTTTGTTTTGTGTGTGTGTAAAATGGCGCTGAAAGGAAAACGTGCGACTCGTTGGCTCGTGCGGGATTCAGATCACAGCAGTCCCCGACTTATGAACACCCGACTTACGAACATCCGCACTTACGAACATCCGCACTTACGAACGAGCTTCCATCATACATTTTCTATTAACCATCCGAGTTGCGAACTCGCGCTTGCGAACCGAACCGCGACAATATTTTGTTCAACGGGGCGATCCTCCGCGAGATGTAATTAGCCCCAGGATCTCGCTCAGAGTGAGTGTGTGTATATGTGTGCGCATGTGCGTGCGCATGTGTGTGAAAGTGAGTGTGTGTGTGCTCGCTAACAGCACTTGCCCCAACAGTCTGTTAAGCCTATACAGGGAGTCTTTGTTTTTTATGTGTGTCGGGCGCCTACGAACTTGGCCACCCGAGTTTGATTTCCGCTCACGACCAACACCAGTGATGCTTATCCTATTGGGTCCTGGGCCTCACCTAGGTCGATTCAGCCTTGAATGAGTACCCAATGCGGTGTGTAAACATCGCCAATGGGGAAGTTCAAAAGCGGCCGCGCGTGGTGCTGTCCACCCACCCCCTCGTGTGCCGTGCCGGCCTTCATAGGCACTGTTCATTGACAGCACTTGCCCCAACAGTCTCTTAAGCCTACACGGGGGATCGTTGTCATTGTGTATGTGCGTGCGCGCCTGCCTTCGAGTATGTGTTACATTTTGGGGACTCATTACACCCCTTCCAACAAGCAAGCCGGTATCAGGACTCATGGTAAGTGAAAAAAAAATCGGTTTATTGAATGTTTTATTTACTATACTGTATAGGATGTATTACATGCAAATGTACACATTTCTTATGAGTTTAACAAGGATTCCCATTTCTGTAGAACCGTAACACATGTGCATTTAAATACAGAACATTATTGTGTTCTGACTCTGAACTATTCTATATACGAACGGGTCTCGGGAACTGAACCCACTCATAAGTCGGAGGACTGCCCGTATTACTATTGTAGAGACTAGCGAAAGATTCGAGTGTTATATTTCACACTCGTTAAGGATTCACACGGAATTATAGACGTGTTGGATCTCAACGAATTTGGACTTCAGACGAGGCTTGTTGGTGTGAGATTGGGTCTATGCGAAGCGATTCAGGCTAGTGTGTGAGTCATAGTGTTTGTCGGATTCAAATGAGTGCATCTAGGATAGAGTGGGATTTAGACTCGCGTGGAAATCTGATGAGTGAGGGATTCAGTCTCGTCGAGGAACTGGGCAATAGTGGTACTGTTGCACACCAGGTCAGACTCTGTGAGTATCGGGACACCGAGGCAATATAACACTTGATCCCCTTGAACGTGGAATCCCAAATCTCGAACCAGTTCACCTTCAATGACTACCTGGTGGGTTACGTCTCAACGTAAGACGTATGATTTGGGTTTTTTTCAGTTTGTGAGAACTGTGCAGTATATGTTGGGTGAGTTGACCGATAATATCCATAATGAATGTGTTCTCATGGGGAGATGTGGTGCAGTGGTTAGCACGGTGCGCTACAAATCTGGAGATTGCAACACCAGTGACGATTATCTTATCTAGTCGTGGGCATCCCCTAGGTTGACTCAGCCTTAAATGACTCACTTGTGTGGTGTGTAAACATCATGGGAATACAAAGGTGGCCGGCCGAAATGCTGGCCACCCACCCTGTGCAGGCCTTCATGTGATTGGTGACAGCACTTGCTCCAAAAGCCTGTAAAGATTTTGTTCTCAATACAGGCGATTCTCGCTTAACAAGCGAGATACGTTCCGTGAAAATTTCTCGGTCAGCGAAAACTCGTTAAACGATTATCGTGTTTTCATTGACTCCCATGTTAAAAGCTGAGCTATGTTTCAGCCCCACAATGTTCCACTCTTGAACATTGTATTTACGTGATACATACCCATTATTTTATTTTAAAATAAAGTAATACAAATAAAATGTAACACTCACCACACACACGAAGAACCACATTGCTTGCAGGTGCCTGGCATTTATATTGTTTGAAGGGTAAATGTTAGTGGGCGGAGGTAGCAGCATGGATCGCTGGTTCAAATTTCACTCGTCACTGATGTTAGCCGTGACATGAAATAACAAAAAAAAACCAGGGTTGCTGGGTTCACAGCCACGATGCGGGGATGAACGATGGAGTGACACTTTCTGTCCTCAGCTTTTGAAATTAATTAGCACTGCCACCCACCGACCCATGACAGTGCCACCAAGAGGCCCCCCTCCCTCCCCCACACAACGAAACACGTGGGCACAGCTGGCAAACAGCTGCGGGCCGCCATGCTGCTCCTGGCCGCCACGTGACGCATTCCATCGACCGGTCTCGCTAAGCGAACATTTTGCTCGTTTTGAGAACAAATTAGTCTAAATTAAAATGGCTTAATCTAGCGAATTTTCGTAGAAAGAACACTCGTTAAGTGAGACGCACCTATATGCGTGTGTGGTATTGTGCGTGGGACACGATGAGTCTGTAGGTGTGCACCATCCCTTTAGCTGCTCTTCCAGCACAATAGGCACTGCCTAGCACTTAAGAGTCGGACAATGAGGATTCTGTGCAGATCAGTGCATTCCTTTCAGTGATGGTTTTATGACGCAGCTGTTATATTTAACTTACTGTAGTTATTTTATGTAACACCAACTTTACTACCCCAGCTTCACCCGGGACTTCGATTCACCCCCAGTGGCGATGTTCACACACCACACCAGTTACTCGTTTGAGGCTGAGTCGACCTAGGGGAGGCCCAGGACCGGTTAAAAGAATCGTCACCGGTGGTGGCCGTGAGCGGGAATCGAACTCGGGTCGCCGGGTTCGTAGCGCAGCGCGCTACCCGCTACACGACAATGCGTTACGCTTCCACGGGTCACGTGACAGATATGACGTCACAGCTCACTTGCCGTGCGACAAAGAAATGCATTATTGAGCCCCCCCCCCCCAAAAGAAATACAAAAGTCTATTTTTAGAATTGTTGCATGGTGTACAGTCTGGAAAGTACCCACATGGCAAATGTCAAGTTTGTTGCATGTCGGGAAGTACGCTAAACATTTTGAACAGACACAAAATCACAACTTTGCCTTTATATGTCTGGAGATTACGTGGTGATCCTGCTGTGCTGTTAGTGGTATGCAAGCACAATTAACAACAACAACAACAACAACTCGAGACACTCGTCAACAACAACAATGTTACATTGAAAAAAAGATTGGTGGCGTTTTGGGAACATCACGTGCTGTGAAGGGTCGTTGCCCAAAATATCGCCGATGGTATTTTTTTTGTAATTTTAAGGCCACGGTTTTGTTGACGAGGAGTGTGATTAGTTTTGTCATTTCATATACAAGTCCACCAGTGGCCGTAAATTATACTTTGAATGATTTTTTGTTTATTAATGTAGGGCCTGCAAAAAAAAACAGCTTGAAATCTGTGGGAGAAAACCCCTTGGGAAGTTTTCAGGTCCGCCTCTTGATTTTAACCGAAGCATCAACTAAATCACTGCTTTTGTTTTGCTCACCCGAGCTATAAATGATCTGATAGTCTCTTGCCTTTGTGCTGTTCGCTTTGTGGCATTCTCTGGTCTGATGCTGGTGAGACTAGGCCATGAAGAAGGTTGTCTCTGGTGTATACCAATCCGTTTCAAAGACAATGCATATATTTTCAGAACATGTTTCTTTGCATGTTCACCTCAAGTACTGTGCTTGGTTAATGCAGACGTGATTCCTTGCAAAAATATAGTAGTAGGTTTTTACCCTTTCAACTGGTACACAAACTGACACCTTTATACAAGGCATCATGTTTGCAATAACCAGAACACAAGCAGTCAAAATGCAAACAAAAATAAACAACTCTGATAATGATAATGATATGCACTGTCCATGAAGTTGATTGGTCCACACCCGAGACAGCTTTTCTTAGAGCCTAGTCTCCATTGGTGTTGGGCCAGATGACGCCAAAAGGCTGTCTCTAGTGTAGACCAATCCGTCATCTGGTTCAAAACCAATGGAGACTAGGCTCTAAGAAAAGCTGTCTCGGGTGTGGACCAAATCAACTTCAAGGACAGTGCATATCATTATTATTATCAGAGTTGTTTCTTTTTGTTTGCATTTTGACTGCTTGTGTTGTGGTTATTGCAAACACGATCCCTTGTATAAAGGTGTCAGTTTTGTACCAGTTGAAAGGGTAAAAACCTACTACTATATTTTGCCACTGGTAAAGGAGGTCTCATAGTGTAAATCCTTGCAAAAGGTATAATCTATTTGGTGTTTGAACATCGTTACACCTGTTTTATTGCCAGAAAGTGTAGAACCTATTCGTATTAATCATTGCTGCGGATGGATGATGATGTTGTGGTATGATTGATTTTGATGATGGTGGATGTGTTAATGACGATCATCCTGGTTTTGATGACACATGCACTAACGTTCATACTCTGTCTGCCCATGAATACGATTGTGCTTCTTGTGATGATAATAATAATGCCATCGCTGCTGCCACTGTTGCTTGCTGCAAAAGCTCATTTAAAAACACATCCTATTCCAGTTCCCAAAATCGTCTCCAGTCCGGATTTCTTGAGCATTCAATCATTTTTGGTGTGTCTGGGGGAAGTACAGTGTTATATATATATGACAAAAATTCTATTGATTTTGTTTTTGTAAGAAAAGCCAATGTTTTGGATTTTAAGTGAAAAAAACTGAACGTTCAGTGACAGGTGGGACATCTGTGTGCCTCTGCTTTGAAGTCACGTGCGTCTGAGCGGCGTGCCACGTGCCTCTGAGCGGCGTGTCACGTGCACGATGTTGGTGCTCGTTGAGCAGCAGCAGAGCAGCGCGGTTCCCACGCACTGTGCTACCCAACCCAGGCCGCCTAGGTCTCCCCTAGGTCGACTTGGCCATGAATTCATGAACGATGAT